TGGTTATTGGGAAATATTTTATTTTTCAAATAAATATTTACTTATCTAAATATTATAAAATATTTATAATTTTAAAAGGAAGAGAGAGAGAGAGAGAACAATTCAAGGACCACATAGCCTTCTTTTAAGTAAATTTTTGCCCCTTCACTAAGTAATAATACATTTTTAGATTTTCTTGGGATTTGCATGGCATTAATTGACTATAAAATTACAGTGACATATTTTGCACATTAATTTAGTTGCTATTTTCTTCATACAATAAATAATAGTAATTGTAACTTTTTTTTCATGTTTGAAACAACAATAGTTTGGATCCAGGAGTTGCAGCTGCAAATTAAATAAATACTATATTTGGTCTGAGAAAAAAAAAGATTGTAGCAGAGGGCTAAGCCTGTATTTGCTGTCTATTAATAATTATCTGCATTTTTGGATCCGCAAATAGAAGGGCTTTTATTTATTTGTAATCATCTCCATGACCAATGGAACGTTTCCAGTGGCAAAACAGAGGAGGAACAGATTATTTTGCAATTGGAGTTTTTGTACTGACATCTTACTCAAGTCATTGGCAGCTTTGCTTGACATAATAGAATAACAGAGTTGGAAGGAACATTGGAGGTCTTCTCTTCTTAAAAACCTCCAGTATTGGAGCACCCATAACATCTGGAGGCAAGTCATTCCACTGATTAATTGTTCTAACAGTCAGGAAATTTCTCCTTAGTTCTAACTTGATTCTCTTCTTGAGTAGTTTTCATCCATTTCATCCATTTTATCTTGCCTTCAGATGCTTTGGAGAATGGGTTGACCTCCTCTTCTTTGTGGTAGCCCCTGAGATATTGGAACACTGCTATCATGTAGATTGTGGTCAAATGCCTTACTGAAATCCAAGTAAATTATATCCACATATATGCCGTGTTATACACATGTGATTGTTCATGAACATGTGAAAATCATCATGAGATATTCGAGTTACTAAATGGTATTCTAGCTCGCAGGTCAGTCTCCTAAGTGCGAGACCAGCAATTTTTAAATATATATATATATATATATATATATATATATATATATATATATATATATATATATATATATATATATATATATATATATATATATATATATATATATATATATATATATATATATATATATATATATATACCACTTTAAATGTTTTCAAAAATAATTGTGTGGTCTGCAATATTTTCCCCCTCAAAGAAGTAATTCTATTTTTGCAAAAATAGTTTTCTAACTCAAATACATTAGAAGCCCACACCTTTACTAGCCATATACATGTATCTGTTCAACCAAAATTTATATATGAAGTTAGGAATAATTTATTTGGAATGCCAGAAATGTGTTTTGTCATTTTGTCATTTTCAGATATAGAGAAACTAATCAAAAAACATTTGTTCTCTTTCATTTCCCTGCTCATCCTTGGCATCACAATTCTTTCTTTCAAAGTTGCCAGATTTGGAATGAGGCCAAGAAAATAATGGATGTAGAAAATGAGTTGTCTTGAGTCCCAGAAGTTGTTCTATCTGGGTCAAAGGTCTGATGCATTAGTAAGTTACTGTGAAATGATGTTCATTCTCAGTGTCATAGGGATGGCATCCTAGAGACCTTAGGCATCTGATATCTCTAACCATTACTACATTTCTCTCCTTACTCCTGATCTCTCTCTCTCTCTCTCTCTCTCTCTCTCTCTCTCTCTCTCTCTCTCTCTCTCTCTCTCTCTCTCTCTCTCTCTCTCTCTCTCTCTCTCTCTCTCTGTCTCTTTCTCTCTCTCTCTCTCTGTGTGTGTGTGTGTGTGTGTGTGTCTCCGTATGTGGAAATAGCAGAGAGAACATCTATCTGACTGTGAAAAGAATGATAACATATTGTGTGTCAGTGGAAACCTCTCTGTTATATTGCCTTCCTGTTGGAAGGTATATGGAATGTAAAAATTCAAGCTCCTTTTAACAGAGCATGGTCAAAAATAAGCCGGATACATGATACTGACGCTGCTCTTGTGCTACCCATTTAAGTTACGTATCAAGTCTAAATTTAATCAAGGCCACATTTTATTTATACATTTCATGCATTAAACTCATTTAAAGTTCTAGTCAGATTTCATTAGAGGAAATACTACCGCGCACATCATGCAGTAGTAAAGCTAATGTGCTTCAGGAATTTGAAAGGATTTAGAGATCAGAGTGTCTGATTTCAAAAAAAAAAAATTTTTTTCTTTAACTTTGTGCTTCTAGCCAGTCTGTATGCTGTACCCGATTTGTTTCCTAGGACACTAATACAGTCAGCATGCGCTCTACAAATGTGTAAACACAGACATTCCCTCTAATCAGTGAGTTTGGTGTCTTAAGGCAAGATTATGTTTTTTTAGGAAATGCAATTTATGTTCAGGATTAAATTTCTCCTGCCAACTGATAACGTCTGAGGTTGAGTGAGATGATAAGTATTGTGTCTTGGTTTCTTGTCATAACTGTTAAACCTTCAACCACCAGGCTATTATTTTATGTGAGTTTATTTTAGTGATGGAAGTGATGACTTAGCCATCAGGGTTATACATATATAAATGAAGTTCTCATTGGGGAAAATAAGGAAGGACAATGCCAAAGGATTGTTCTAGAAAATATGTACATATCTTAAATATTTCTGAACCACATCCAGGAAGCACAGAATTGTGCTTTGAAATAACAAAAGATGGAAACAATAAAATTCCATTAAACAATTGGGAACAATTGCTGGTGAAGGATGGGTGAGGGAATCCACTAGTATTACACTGCAACACCAGAAATGGTAGCCAACAGTAACTCTTGCTATCATTCTTTCCTTGGCCACCTTCACCAGCCTAGCACCACCATAAAGAATTGATTATCAGTAGCTATCAGTATTTCAGTTTTCTAGAAAAACTAATCCTTTACTGTGTAAAAATGAACATCACTAGTAGGGAGGCATTTTACAGGATATATTACATCATGCTTTGGTTGAAAACTTTGAAAGAAATCTAGGAGAGGGAGGGGAAGTAATCTGTGTTTCTCTTCCTTTGATTTTGTGGAAAGAAAAATCTTCAGGTCCAGTCCAAGCTGGGAATAAGAAAATGGAGACTGCTTTAGGAAAGAAGGTCCAGTTTATTGAGTTGCAGAACCACAGTAGCATATGGTTCTGGGGCAGCTGACAAAATGGAGCTGGGAGTGGTGGGTTTTTATACCATCTTGGGCTTTTGTGTTTGGAGTTGTTCCTGTTCCTGTGGCATGAACTTTGATCCGAGCCTGAGTGTGCTCTTCTGGTATTCTAATGGTGGTGGGTTAATCCTATTATGTCCTAAAGGTAATGTCCTTCTTCTCTGGGGGTATGGCTGATAACTATATCCTGTGTTGGATTTTGGGGTGAGGGGTTCTGGTTCTAATCCTATCACTCTGCTGTTGTTAGCTATCAAATCTTGCTCCAAGGGATTTTGAAAGATCTTTTCTTGAATGGGCTTCTGCAGGTAGTATTTGCTCATGAATGGGGCCTCAGTCTTTCTGAATGGGATTATCAAATCTTCATTTCTACAGAGCATGGCCTCCTTAGATTCTGCTTGGGGCTATTAAGAAAAACTGGGCCTGCTTTTCTGCCTTCAAGAGCCTTTGAGGAAATATAATATTCTGCCTTTTTAATATTTCCCAAAATATTTCCTTCTTGGGGGTGGGGGTGGGGGCTGACTTCCCACAATTTCTTAACATACCCAGAAGTCAGAAGATAACATCTGGGCTACCAAACCTGTCTGTAAACAACTTACCATTTGCAAGCAGAGAAGTAATGACATTGATAAAGATGCTAAAGTTATTAGAAATCTAATGATAAACACATGAATTTACAGCTTTTGATTAGGATCCTTATACAGGCCCTATAGATGTAAGGACTTAAATTCTTGGAATTCTTAGCAATGTCCATCCTGGTTGAAAATTCTTCCCAGGGAGGGGAAGGTTGCCTTATATGTTATAGCCTGGGGTAAACTAGATACAATGTTTTTGTAAATCCTGCTGGGCAGTTTGGATTTAGCTTGGACTATTTTGGAGGCTACTTAATTCAGCTAGCAGATAGCTAGAGAAAAATATTGGGGAATCAGAAAACTTAATGCTTAAAGAGTTGATGCTGACCTTGTAAATGTGTTCACCTTGTTTTAAAATAGACATAAAACTAGATTTTGTCACCCTCTCCTTATCCTGATTATCTCCCCCCCGTCCCCAAATCCCCTTATTTTTGAGAAGCAATATTTTGGAAACTATTTAATGAACCTGTTATAAACTTGGGACTAATAATTAAACTTGATGTTATGGAAGCTTCTGTATTTCATAAATTTACTGTGTTAATTCTGATTTAGCAATAGTGTACTGTATATCTATGTGTTAAAGGTATTTTCCCACTAGGTGTCAGCATAAGGTAATAATATTGACTCTGGAAGTTCTTTGAAAAATAAAAGGGAATGTTTTAATTAAGTTCAAAAAAAGACATGCAAAATAACTGCTAATCTTCATTCTTTTTGTTTCAAACCATTGTAAAAAATAATTCACACTTTCAAGACATTCTTACAACTGATATAAGAATAGAAAGTAGACACTGGGAATTTAAAAAGCCTTGGGTTAATAGTCAAATGAGCATCTGGTCATTGAATAAAATTTCTCACTTTTTAAAACTGAAAATGTGTAAATATTATAGTTTATAAGAGCTAGGTTATATGTGCTAACTTGTCACTGGAAGGATATTTAACAAAAATTGAATGTTCATAATAAGAAATGCATATAATTCAACAAGAATGTACTTCCTATATGATGTCAAGAAACAGCAAAATGAATGTAATTAAAATGTTGCTATAACATTTATATCCACATGGAAGCTACCTTCTATTATTCCTGAACTTCACACTCTAACAGAAACTCCCGAACTTTTTGGAAATCTTTTTTTTTAATTTAATTTTAGCTTTATTTAGCCCTAGTGCAACCAAGAAATGACTGAAAAATATAAACTGATCATTCCAAAGCTGGTTGTTCTTGCTTGAGTTGAAATTAACCTCAAGAATCAGAGCAACTAAAGAGTCCTAGTAAAATTTTGTTTGAGCCAACAAATCAATATAGAGAGTCCATCCCAAAGTCAACTTAGAATATGTTAGACTCAGCAAAAGGTTTGAAAAAGACTCTTGATGTTTTTAATTGGATGATTTCCACTGTTTGTTTGTAAATGTTCTCAACATTAAAGCAAATTGATCAAAGAAACTGTTAGGGATACTAGAGAAAAAATATGATGTTTGCTTCTAAGTCTTATAGGGAATGTATACATAAAGAAAGAAGACCTGGGGAAAAAAAAAGAGAGCCTAATATATATTAATTCTTTATGTGTGTCACCTACTATGTGTTTGTCATGAATGGATGTTGTAATCCATCCTAGCATGGAAGTTGCTGTTTAGAATATTGAAACTAAGGTGGTGGTTAAATACTACCACCTTTGTTGCAGGAAAGTATCTGAGACAGAATAATTATGGATAGAGGAATTGTTTTATTCCATTGTTTTAATCCATTAAAAGCACTGAATGTGAGACGTGCTGATAAGCCCTACTGTCTAATATAGCAATGTTATCAGCTATTGTACATTCAGCTTAATATAAATTGCTTAAGAGGGTTCTTAAGAAATGTATTTGTGATTCAAAAATACTACAATAAGGAAAAGTTAAAAATCATAGCAGTGCATAAGAATAAGAAAAAAAATATTTTGGTATATGGAAAGATGTGGTCATGCATGCTGTCAAAAATATCCTATGGTGTGATTTCACATTGAAAAGAAATGGTTTAATTTGGATGCTTTGTTATAATATTAAAGCATATATTTCCAGCTTGTTCAAAGAACAAGTTATTTTACAATCATTATGCTTTGGTTATTGCTATAACATACTGCAGCAACCTAAATCAATAGATTCTCTCTGCAACTTGATGTTAAACTATAGTAGATTTTTCAGAGACCAAAGATATGTAGTGGTGCTACTAAGATTAAGGGGCTTTGGAGCAAAGTGCCCCTTTCCCCCTCCTCCCATTTTTTTTTAAAATACCTCTAATTTTCAGAGTGTGGATACTGGAAGAGCAAAGCTGAAGTTGTACACAACCCCCAGGTTTCTGTAGGTAACATCTGTGAGAAAAAACAAGGAGAATGTTCAACAGACCTTTTGTAGATATTTTAAAGAAAAAAAAGTGCAGGGTTTAATTGAGGAGCTCTGAGAAGAGTGGGCTCTGGGCCTATGCCTGGTGGGACTAGTTGCCCCATTGGAGAGCTGTCGTAGTAATTTCATTCCTAGTTTTGACACCCCAGACTAACATTTAGTCAAGAGGCTAAAATATTAATCCATATCTTTGACAACTGACTAGAATGTTGGGGCAGTTTTTCTCTCTCACAGTAATCTATTTAAAACACTTTATAAATAAGGGCTTAATATATCTCCATTATTAGCCCCTTACTGAAATCACATGTCCATTATATACATCATTTGAGTCAGATCATCCAAAACTAATTTTAAGCCCCTCTGCAGCAATTATAGCCCTATAATTGGCTGCCATTTGTATTTGAGGTGAATGAACTTTGTAAGGTTCACATTATGAAGGTAACATAATCTTATCCCCAAAGGTCCATTCATGAGGACTGACAGAGAACTAGGCTCAGCTGCTTTGCTTTAACATCTGCATAACTGCAGAGGCAAAATGCTATGAGAAATCTAATACGTCTGCCAAAGGTCTTCAACTTGACCCTGGCCTCCAGTCTCTTAAATCTTAGTATTCTTTCATATATGCTTGCTGTTGAATATGTTACCAGGAAAGAAGACTCAAGCTACAAGATGTAGGTGGTCTTTTTTCTTATGCAGTGTAGCTCCAAATAGAAACTTTATCTTAAGCCAGCAAGCTGATATTTTCCAAAGAGCTCGGAAATATGCCAGCCAGAGGTTTGTTGGTTAATTGCCATTATTGTTTGTATTACTATTTTTATTGCAGTAGAATGAAGAAAAATGCCTTTTTGGTGAGACTTAACTTTAGAGATATGATATTACCATCCATTAAGTATTACAAATAATTTTGCTTTCTACTGATTTTTAACTAATGCACTATTTAAAATTAATATCCAGTTTTCCTTATTCTTCTCATTTTTTTATTTCTATACTCTGCTTCATAATAGACTTGTATACCTCAGTAAAACATCATTTGTTTCACTGTATGCAAAAGATGGTCAATGTAGCCATCTTTTGCCCTGCACTGAAGGAAGTGAGCAAATGAGTGCATGAGCGAGAGAAGGGGGAGTCCTCATTACTTGCAGGACCAGATGAGCCCCTCAGTCCTGCCTACCTACTCTGAGGTTCAGTTGGAAACTGACAGGAGGCTTAGCCAGAGACTGAGCCAAAATTGTCAGCAGCAGCCACAATAAGAGGAGGTAAAGATGGAGGCACAGTTGGAGATTGGCTGCCTCTGTTGTTGCCAAGGAATTGAGCTCTGTTGTTGCAAAGGAATTCAGCCAGTGAGAGAAATAGTGAGGATGTCAAGCAGGTGGAAAGCAGGGTGAAGTTCTGGTTTGGAGTTGATAGCTGAACTGGTCCCAGTGCAGCTCTCCAGCCAGCACTGGATTTTTGTTATATCTGCCCTGGTAGACCTTTGATCAAAGATTGGAGGGAAAAGTTGCCAGTGGTGGAACTGCAGAGGCACGGGGCCACCAAGAGGTAGAGAGCCAGTCAGGAATCAGAGTCCTAGTGCATTGGTGGGATAGAGCAAAGGAATGGCCTGGAGCCGAAGCTAATCTGGACTGATGACAACTTTGCAGAGCCAGCTCAGAGATTCAGTGGCACCAGCCCCTAGTTACTGGGAGAGGGGTTAAATTGAATGAATGAGGGGGTGTAGAGAGTGACAGATCTGGCTGGCACTGAGAGCTAGCGCTTAAATGCTGCTGGAGTTCCCCCCTTTTCACTTATCCATTGACAAATGGGATGGCTGGGAGAATGGCAAGCCACTGCCAGATGGGAGGAGGCCAAGGTGGGAGGCAGAGGATCACCTGTCAAGGTTTGGGAGGGATAACAGATTCAAGTAGTGGTGGGCATGGTATGAGATCAGAAGACCATTGAGGGGGAAGATACTCCTAATACGTGACATTAGGAGAATTTAATCTGTCATCCCTTGGTTTGGCCTCAAAGGTGACCCAGGAGTTCATGGCTACCACCCTTATTTACAATAAAGATCAGAATAATTAAATGGTATTTTAAACCAACTATTAAAAAACAAATAAAACAAAACACTCAGAGTGTTTAATAATAATTTATTAAATTTCTATGCTGCACTTGGAGTGTTTTTGTTTGTTTTTTAATATCAGTTGGTTTCATACCATTTAATCGTTATTTATTTAATTAATAATTTATTAATCATTTAATAACTATTATTATGGCTGATCACACAGTCAGCCAGATGTTTAGACTGGATCTAGTAATTTATCCACCTATTGAGGGGATAATAAGGACTTGGGATAGGCAATGCTCTTGTTTGATGGTATTAAAGTATTGTTGCAAGATGTAAGCTGTTCCAAGTAAAGCTGTCTTTTGCAATTGACTGATGGTGATTCTGTCAATACTGATGGTACTTAAGTGGTGCTCCAGATGCATTTGCAGCCAAGGCAATGTTTGTGCCTAAGGACTAGAACCCTAGTCTTTTAATTAGTCTCCAAGTCTTCAATTAGTCTACCAGTTTCTACTTGAGTACCATATCAAACTGGTTCTCATGAATCACCATACTAAAATTTTATCTACATATGAGGCTCTAACAGACACACCATGTTCTTTAATGTCAGAGAAATATCTTGGACCTTTCTTTTTTTGTGTGTGTTGGGAGGGTGCAATTCAGTCCAAAGGTTAAGTACCATGCATCTGGACAGATAGACTGTTTATTATATGACTATATCCTATTTCCCTTTTCTCGACTGAATTTCAGTGCATTAGTTATTATTGTTTAAGTAAACATTGATTTAGCAATTATTCTGCCTCTTCTGCATCTGGTGAAAAGGTGTGATAGAGATGATGAGAGACACAGTAAGTTGTTGATGCTTATTTTAGATTTTTGCATGATCTCACTCATTCATATTTTTATAAACATTACACAGTATTGGGTATTAAAATTTTTGTGGAATGCCATACTATATAAATACCTTGAGGTCAAATAGAAATCCACTATAATTACTCTTGGGAGATGTTCAACCAGGCATGAATAGCACTTATAAATTGTCTCCAAAAGAACTGATGGTCTATGATATTGAAAGCTGCTGAAAGTGCCAGGATAATCAGTAGGACTGCACTTCCTTGCCTTGCTCCTGCCAAGATAATCAACAAAGTTAGTTTTTAGTGCAAAAACCAGCCCGAAAAATCAACTGAAATGCAGGAGTATCTGGCTCTAATCAGCCACCAGATGCTTTAATATCTTGTCCATGAGAAGGATGTTGGCCACTGGCCTAGAATTATTTAGTTCTTCTGATCCAGTGATGTTTTTTTTTAGGAGTATGCTCCAATCAAATCTAAATTTTAAACTTTAAACAGCTTTGATTAAGTGTATATAGAGAGTAGTAAATTGTCAGTTCTTTCAGTACCCTTTTTTATGTTAAAAATCTGAACAGGAATATATTAGGGATACAGCCACAGGAGGGCAGCACAAGGCTTCTGACTCAGGTTGACCAATAATTTACCCTCACTGATTAAAAACATTCAATAGAAAAGGAAATAAAGGATATATACATATGTAATTTTATAGCAATATGAAAATGAATATTATGTACCTGTGTAATTAGGTATAAGTGAATGTATTAATTTCAGATTGCTTCATTTTTCATTTTGTTCACCAATGTATAAAAGAATCTTTTTAAAAATCAACAAATATTATGTATATTTTGGTTTTAACATTGCAGCCTATTTTTTATGCCAATGATTGTCATCATTATAATTGATTTTAGTATTAGTATTTTAAGGCATTTTTTCTTAACTCTGCATTGTTATGTTTAAAAAAAGTAGCACAGGGAATAATGCTAAAATGCAAGCATAATCAGTACAGTTTTAACATTTTTAAGAACACCTGCAGTTTTGTTACAAATACCTGTATGTATTTTAGTTGCAAACTTTATTATTATATTCAGAATGTTTCAGTTTGTGGATGGATTTAGGAAAAAAACTGCTGTGGAAAAGTTCACATTAATAATAACAAAACAAATTTCTGTCTCATTACTAGACATACTACTTTTTGCATTTTCCTATCCACATTACTGGCTTGTAGTCTGATCCTGGCTTGCAAAATTATGCCGAATGAAAAACCATAGCCACAACATACCTCAAGAACCAGCTCTCTTTATTGGCCCTAGAGCTGTGTTTCTCAACCTTGGCTGTTTGAAGATGTGTGGATTTCAACTCCAGAATTCCCCAGACAGCATTCTGGAGAGGTGTAGAAACAGTGTCCTAGATGATCATCAGAGATATTGAAGACATTTGAAAAAAGATTCATAGCAATTTTGTAGGCTGTCAAAACCTGCAAAAATTTTTTTAAAATTTTTGAGTCAGTACATCCTCTGTTAAAGTATTACAGATTTACCTAACGTTTGTTCTTATTTTACTCTGGATATGTCTTTGCTCGTATACTTGTTTTGTTTTTAAGACAATCTGGAATCTTTATGCATTTGTGTGTGTATGTGTATGTGTGTGTTTGTGTTTAGTTAATTAGGTTTTTTTTATACAACCCATCCCAGTAATTTCTCTTGAAACTTGGTAAAGGTAACTGTTGGTTTATGTCTGCTTGCAATCTGCTATGACTACGAGGCAGTGTTTAAACCATTGTAATCGACAGCTTCTCAGTGCAAGAGCATTTGGTTTACATTGTAATTGGTTTCTTTCCTACAGAGAATTGATACTGGTTGCAGTCCAAAGGGGCTATTTATATAAAGAAATATTCTGTACAATTGGGGCTTTCTTTGCAAATTTCCATTACATCAGCATTAAGCAAGTCAAACTGCTTTTTTAGATTATGACCACTGTCTGGTTCTGTAGTCAGAAAAGACCATTGATTATAGCAATGTAGGAATTAATGTCAGATTATTTGTTTGAATGAATGTATGAAATGGTTTTATATTTTTATTCCAATTTTTTTAAACTGAAGTGCCCTATGTAAGGTAATGTGTGGTCTCTCCTTTTCAGAATGCTTTAAATCTCTGGGCCAGATTCAGACTGTCTAAACCAATCTGACTGGATTTCCTTAGATTAAATTGTCTTTCTGTTACAAAAGAAACATCCAGGCTTCAGGAAATAGGAAAGTGCAAAACAAAATTTATATTTGTTCTCTGCACCAACCAGACAACTTTATAATAATGAAACTATAATGAATATTTCCCCAGAAACAAATTATGCCTGGTTGATGTTTGGTAACTTGAGGACCCAGTACAAGGAAGTTTCTACCAAAAATAATAGATGAGGAGAAAAAATCAGCACCCAGGTCATGATTTGATAGTTAACCAGTGTAACAAAACAGATCAAGGTGCACTTCATGATTTCAAATAATAACAATGTAAGATAAACAGCAAGGGTCTTATTTGGTCAATCCATCGCACAGCAATCAGCTTAAATTTCCACACAGTGTGTGTATATTCTTCTAAAAGTATACTTTTAAAAGTATACTACTTCCTCTTAAAGTATGTTTTGATGCTTAATAAAGCCAATTATCTGAAACATATTAGAAATGTATAGATTGGACTACATTTGTGATACACTAAACTTAATTGTCTCCTCAGAAAATATCAATTCTATAGAAAGTAGAACACTTTTCTCACACATCCCCCACAGAAACCTCTGAGCCAAGAATATTATGCTGTTTTTGGCTCATGCTGTTCAGTTCTCTATTTTCTATTCGCTAATGGGAAAAATAACAGTTTTATATACTTGAAAGGTGAAAGTGTAAATTTAATGAGAGCAGGAAATAGAGCAGGAAATAAATGACACAAAATCCTCCATATACCAAGTATCAGTAACCTTACCCTTCCGAGATAAAACCTTTCTCTTATGAACCAGCTTCACTGGTAATCGGACTGGTTACCGCCACAGCAAACTAGGGCCATGATTTGTAGCCATAACAGCAGAAACAGCCCTTGAATATTAAATGTAGGTTTCAGACTCGGATATTTTACTGAAAGTTAATGACTTTAAGAAATTGTAGAGCTTCCTTTTATCTGCCAAAGCTTCAATGAGCAAATGACATGTTAGAGTTGACAGTCACGACTTCCCACCTATCAGAACTTCTATTGCTTTGCATGTAAGAGAAGAGCACCATCTGGTGGTAGTGAACAGATAGAAATAACTTTTTAATGCAGAAAATGGAAAACAAAAGGAAGTAAGTCAATTACTGTATTGTTGTTCATACTGTGATCAGGGAAGGGTAGGATTGAGGGACAGGCAATAAAACTGAAACAATGTCTTTAAAAGTTAAAAAAAAGTATGACTGTACCTTGAGGAATGTAGTGTACTTTAAAAAAAAAACTTATTTTGCCCTTGTTGCATTGATTTTATATAAGCTTCTTTTGGGACTGTGTAGACATCCAGTTGGAAATGCATGCTTCAGAGTTTTCTGATTACATTTGTACTTTACATTTTTTCCATGCAAATACTTTTCTTTCATTCACTCAATGTGTATGTTTTTCTTTCTAGTCCTTTGTTTGTTTCTAGGACAGTTCACATTCACCTTCCCTTTCCTCCTCACCATAACCCTGTGAGCAGCTTAACAGAAAAAAAAAAGAATAGCCAAATCCAGGTCCACAAGTGGTTGCTGAGCTAAGCTGAAATTTCAACCAAGCTTTGCCCCACTTAAATCCAGTCATATGGAAGAGCTTTCCTAACCCGTTTGTTTTCCAGCATAATGATTATAAACACAGCCTCAGCACGTCTTGCTGCTCTTCTCTGACTAGATGTTTTGCCAATTTATCTTTCAAATACTTTCTGCACCCTCTTGAGGCATCAGAATATGGTGAATGATAAATCAGGTGAAGTTGTCCTTGCACTCTTCCTGCTCCTGCTGTTATTGCCTAATTTTTATTGTCAAGAAAATCATATGTTCACTAGATCTACTTTAATTTCTATCCTATAAAAGCTTTGCAAGAGCCCCCAATTCTCTAAAAGTAGAAGGCAAAAGCTCAGAAAAAGTCATTAGAATTAGCACAAGACTATCTGACTGTCAAAACTGAATACACTCCTGTTTTTTCCTGCCTCAAATAGGCTAGCAAGTCACATCTATAGCTCAGGCTTTATGATTCCCACTTGGTTATGGTCTAGAGCCAATGGAAGACCTATGTGTCCACATCAGAAAAGGTTGGCCCACAGAAAGCAAAAAATATGTGAGAAATGAAGGTGATCAGTATTCGGGATCCAAAGACGGAGTTGACTTTCCACTGGCCTTAAAAGGGGTTTATTTTAAGTGGAGCCATTTCTTCCGCAGCTCCAATTCAAACTGTCTGCTGCATCACATATTTCATGTTTCATGGAAGTTTGGTANGTCCACATCAGAAAAGGTTGGCCCACAGAAAGCAAAAAATATGTGAGAAATGAAGGTGATCAGTATTCGGGATCCAAAGACGGAGTTGACTTTCCACTGGCCTTAAAAGGGGTTTATTTTAAGTGGAGCCATTTCTTCCGCAGCTCCAATTCAAACTGTCTGCTGCATCACATATTTCATGTTTCATGGAAGTTTGGTAACAACTGTGTAGTGTAGAGACCTTACTTGGCATTTCACAATAGTTAAAAAAAGGAGTTCTTAGTTTTTTCAACGTGTCACAAAATGAAAACTATTGAATGTGAAGAAAATAGTGAGAAAAGACCTATGATTGTGTTTGCTCATATATACTGTTATCAAAAATGTCTCTGCTAAAAGACTTAATATTCTTCTTAAAAGTGGGGTGGTGGTACAGGGGGGACAACCAGAGTAAGACAGTGGCAACCCTTGCAGATATTTGAGCAAATCAAGAAATTGTTTAGCGCTTTAAACTAAACTGGGAAAGAATTATAGATGAGGAGTCTTTGGTGCTCTCTGAGTTTGGTTGTTTTCTTGAGAGACATTTCATTACCCAAACTAGGTAACATCATCAGCACTGATGATCAACACTTATGTTACTAAGTTTGGGTAATGAAACATTTGGGAAAAAACAAGCTAAGAAAGGACCAAGGACCCCTCATTTCAATCCTGAGCTACAAATAAGAATTATTTTTGTTTGAATAATATGGAAGCCAAACACATAATTTTACTGCTCCTTATCAGATATTCATGCACTTAAGGTATAGATATTATTCTTCCTTGTCCTGACTGCCTGATAGATGAACATGGTTCTGTTTCTTCCGATTGCTCTCTATTCCTATTGCTATTCTATCCAATTGGAATATTACTGTTCTTACTTGTTTTTTTCCTATTGCACAGTACTTATTAAAATGGTTACTTACCCCACAGTTAGTTTCCAGGTGGCCTGCATAAGATGGGGATATTCAAGAGGATTCCTTGAAGAAATCCACACTTAAGATGTGACATTTAAAGCAGGAGTACCACGTTCCACTCTCCTTCCCCCCAAGACCAGGTTTGCCCAGAGGTCTGAGCAGAGTTGGGCTATGTGAGTAACAAAAGAAGTCCTATGCACACACAATGTCCAAAATTTATTTTTAAATTGATAATGATGAATACGCAGAGATTAAAAATAATATAGAATCTTATTCACTATTATTTTCATATAAGATTAATAAATTAAACTGTTTTTATTCACTTTTATTTTTATTTAGACTTTTGATACTTATTTGAATTCTCAGCCAGTGTTGTCCAAAGACATTTTCCATGGTCCTGTGACCAGCATGGCTATAAGCAAAAGGAGCACAGAATGCTGCTACTTTCCACTGAAGTGATACCTATTAATCCACTCGCATTTGCACGCTTTCGAACCGCTAGGTGGGCAGAAGCTGGAGCAAGGAACAGGAGCCCACCCTGTTGTGTGGCTCTTGGGTCCTGAACCCGGGCTGTCAGCTTTCCAGCTTTTTGTGGTTGCTATTGTTATTTTGAATCCAAATTAATAAATTCAGAATAGAGGAACAAATAATCAAGGAACAAATTACTGTATTAGAGGTATCTTAAATCCCACTTTATTAGTCATGTAGATTGAATCAGTTTAGCAAAATATTTTGATATTGAAATAAGCAGCAAAAGTAAGAAAAGTAAGAAATCATTGTTTTAAATGAATAATAATAAAAAGTCTATTAAATATGAGTATATGCATAGGTTTCTTTTGCTTCAACTAGCATTTTCTAGAACAACAAAGCTTGAATAAAAGAGGAAGATGTTTCTGAAAAGACACATCTCCCCTTCATCATATTTGAACAGGCTGCATGCCATTGTTTTCGATGCATATACAAATCTGTAAATATGAAATTTTATTCTGGTAGTCTAACTTTAAAATGGAAAAAATAGCTAATATACACAAATACTGATTTGGAAAGAAATCTTGTCTCCAA